TTTATCCCCCTATATAATAGCAATAACAATAAGTGCAAAAAAAAAAAATATAAATAAAAAAAAAAGAAAAGTAACACATAAAAAATAAAATAAAATAAAAGCCACATATAAAAAAAGGGGAAAAAACCCCCCCAAAATGTTTAACTCCCCCACCCCCACGTTTACGCGCCTATAAACGTAAATACGCGTCCGGTGCCCCAGCGCGCAAAAATTACAATTGCGCTACACATGTTACATATCGCCGCGAACGTCGCAGTGAGAGCAATCATTTTAGGGCCATCAATCACTGATAACACTAAACTGATGAGCGGTAACAGCTTTTAAAGCGTCGCCTAGGGCCAATTTTGGGTATTATCGTTTTTTGAGGTTTCGCGCGCGCACGCAATTTTAAGGCTTGACATGTTTAGTGTCTTTTTACCCGACGTGACCCCATCTTTTATATTTTACCAAAAAATTGGGTAATAATAAATGTTTTATCATTTAATATAGGGGAAAGTGTTTTTTTTTTTAAATTTCGGTAATTTTTCCTTAATATAGTAAAAAAATAAAACCCCCAGTGGTGAATAAATACCACCAAAAGAAAGCTCTATCTGTCCCCAAAAAAGGGTATAAAATTCATTTCAGTACAGCGCTGCATGACGGAATAAATGTCAGTCAAAGTACCGCAGCGCTGAATACTGAAAAATGGCCTGGATGGGAAGGGGGTTTAACACCGCGGATGTCAACTGGTTAACACAAGTTTTTTTTTAATCAACATTTATTTTATGTTTTGTTTCAAATAATTCACCTTGTGGGTTACTAAAATGATATTATTTATGTCATTGCAGGCACTATTGAAAACTGAAGGTGACTGTTTTGCCATTGATGAGATTCTGTTGTGCCACAAGTGTCACTGAAGCCACTGAACACTTTTCCTTTTCCTCCCTTTAGAGCCTCTTCTGATAATCTTTCTCAGTACGATTCAGCACCACACATCACATTCTACGGTGCTACAAACTTTTCTGTAGTTGAGATATGTGCTTATGCCAGCAAAGGAACTTGCATCAGATATCCTGGATGATCTGACTTCTGTACAGGAAAATGTTCTTCATATTTAAATGTGCCAAACTGACTCCATTTTATATGATGTCTAGTTCCAGCGATGGTTATAAATTGGTATGTCCACATTATATGCTCTGCAGTAAAGCTGACTGCAGTGTTTTTGAGCCTCTCTGATTGATGGCACTCAAGTGAAGTTAAACTAATGAAAGATGATCTGTGATTGGTTACTAAGACACTATATACACAGGTAAATATGTCAAACAGACAAAACATTATTCCCATTTTCCTGATATACATTTGTACATGCAAGATGGTAACATTCATCTCTGTAGAGAACACAGACTGCCATGCTCATGCAGCTTATAAGGATCAGTGTTGCAACGCACATCTGTGAGCCAAAACTTCAAGGAGATGTGTCCTTGTGACTGCCAAAGTGTATTAATGTGCTGATCAATAGTCGGTACTGCATGTGCTTGACAGCCTGCATTCACCATAGAGATGTGTAATAGCTAGGATAGCCATCCTGCCTGAGGTGATGGTGGACAGAGTACCAGGCAGTGAGCTGAATCTCCTACAACAACTCTTCTTACAGGACCAGCAACCCTTTCTGGTCTTCCATAGTTAGTGTGCTAACTGTGATAGTTTGCCTACATTTCTGTGAATGAATAGAGCTGTCAGTTAGCCACAACACAGGCATGGACACAGGGACTTCTCTTATATTTTCAACTTCCAAAGCCCAAGCCTGTGCTCACTCGGGCTGTGCTTGAATGATACTTCTGTTCATTTATAGAGAGCCTATAATTGAATACCAGGAATACCAGAGCTATAACGAGCATCTGCAAGATCCAATTCCCTATGTATGTGAATAATACGTGCATTGGTCACCAGCAAAGGTTTCAATCTTAAAGGCGCTAAAATAAACTTGCACAGCCATGGGCAATTCAAACTAAGCATACGATGAAAACAATACATTAGATGATGTTATCTTCAGTGAAGATCCAACAATATAGGTGGCTGAAGTTATATGGAACTTGTAAAAGATGAGTTTGGCTATGTCCTTTCCACGTCCTTGGCCTCCCGGTTGGAGGTTGAGATTTTCATATAAATTCAACTGCCTACTTCTCTGGATCTACTAATCAAACCCCTGCTTATGCATTTTATCATAGCTTGCTTATTATGAAGTGTCCAAGTTTGTGACAAGTTTGTTTAAAGCACCTATTTTGTCCAAAGCTTCACCAAGTTACAGCACTAAAATGATTGTGCTCACAATTTTATATTTATCTGGTGTCCATTGGTGCAAGTTGTATTTCGTTTCTGCACAGCACCTCATAAGCCCTAAAATTGCTCTTAAAAATATGCAAACAGTGACCAGCTTCTGTGGTCACCCTAGGGTATTGGGCATTCCCACCCACCTTTGGGTGTTCCGATTTCTCCTGCATTCCCCATTAATAAAATACATCAAACATTTAACAGGCAATCTGGGTCCCCTGATAATGGACATGCCATGCATGCAGTGCACACAATGCTCAGAACTCTAGCACAGAGGTCTCCCTAAAAGATAAAATAAACTGTTAGGGACTTTAGTTCTCCAGCATCTACCAAACAATTAAATATCAATGTTGGGGCTACTGACTCTTCAACTGAAAGATACCTGACAATACATTTAGAAAAAAAAAGGAATTTTAATTTTCACGTCAACTTTTCCAGCTCTGGCCAGGACTGAAGAAATATATTTAGTAGAAATATAACATAGGTGTTTAACTGAGAATCCTTAACGACTGAGTGTTGGTGAATGACGCATTTTCCAAGAACAGATGCAGTGGGGGAAGATGTGCTTGAAGCAATGTATGTATAATAAGTATTTATAAACTGTTTTTTATAGTACAGGTAAGACGAAAACGGCAATAGCAATTTCTATGTGTAGAAGTTTGAGGGGGTTAATGGATTAGAACATGGAAGAAAACAAAAGTGGAAGCATCTGCCCATGGAAACCATCCGACTCCTCTTGTTTTCATTTTCTAGCCTGTATTAAAAAATGCTGGAGTGGGACTGATTGCTCTAATAATTCCACTTTTGATTTCCTCCAAATAAAAACTGTGAAGAAAAATGTTTGTTTAGCCTGATAGCACAGAGGGGATGAGCATTGTTATTCTAGATATAAGACAAAGATATATCATTCTATGTGATTGTTGCCTCAATGGAGTTTTAAATTTTGACTCTCTGAGGGTGATTTATGAAAACTGGAAGAAACACGGAACTGCTACCATAGCAATCAGATTCCTTATTTGAAATATGGTTGCTAAGAGCAGTAGCCCCAATTTGTCCTGAATTTTCCTACATTTTCATAAATCAGTGCCTTTGTGTTCAAAGTTTATGTTTGTTTTCTTTTTTTTTCCTTTGCCTTTTTATGCAAAGCTGTTTTTTCCCAGCAAAATAACTTCAGAATGTAAACCTGCTGCTGGCTATGACTTGGTTTACTCCTTGTGCCAAATTAACCCAATGGGGAGCCTTATTGGTTGAAGCAATGACACAGTGACTTTTGGTAGATAACTAAATATTAATATGAATTAAAATGGTACAACAAACTGCAACTATCCGACCTTTTGTTTCTGGACTAGGGACAGTGCTCTAAATGCATAAAATGGCTGATGTGCCATTGGAACCTTACTGTGAAATGATTTGTACTAAAAGGTGTCCCATGAAGATAGATATGGTTCATAACTGGTGCACCAGTGGCTGCTGGACTAAGATGACCGATCTCTTTTTAGCTTGCTGACATCAAGCTCACTGGCCTAAACTAAAAGGAACGTGGATTTTAGTCACTCGTTGATTACAAATTTGGAAGTCCACAAAAAAGTCTACAGTTTCTTGGCATCATTTGGCTTGCACTGCAGGATGATACTTTTTTTTTTTTAGACGAAGAAAAACAAAAAAATTGTGTTGACCATTTTCTAACAGCTAGAACAGTAAATGTACGGCAAAAACTTCTCCGCTGAATCATAAAGGACAATCTTGCCTCATTTTCAAGGAATTCATAATTATGACGGTCGGGATATTTTTTAACTTCATACTGGATTTACTCTTTGACAAAAAAACAGTAACATTACTGGGATCTCTGCTTCTTATCAAGCTCAGCTGACTTAATTCCTAAAATATGTTCTCCAGTGTATGGAGATCTACTGTCCAGCATCTCATCATGTTGACTCCTACATGGTTTATGAGGTTTTTCAAGATGCATCACGGGAATCCAGGCTTCATGAATGTGTGTTTGTATGTTGGTTTCTATTTTCTTTTATAATCATCCATGTTTCTTTTTTATTCTTTTTTAATAATATCCATAGCCCAAGAAAAATAATAACAACTGGTAGTATGCTCCCTCTACTTTTAAAGAAGCAGTACTAAATAGGCTAATTTAAATAAGAATGTCCCTTACAATAAATGTCCTATATAGAAACTTTTTCTTTGAAATTTTAACTTTTTAGTTTCATTTTAAGAAGATGTGTACCTGATTTTGGTGAATTAATTTCTGGTTAATTGTAAGCAAGATGGCATTTTCTTCTGCATTTGTTTGGGGGCATGAAAGTGTTCTTTTAAAGTAATGTTTAATTTATGTTTAATTTGTATGACCTCTCTCTCTCTAATATTAAATGTTTATATATCTATGAGTAGGACTGGCCTACCCAAATGGTAATGTTTAGGCAATTTAAATGGGAAGTCTATGTAGTTATGGACTACATCTCTCAAAACCTGACATGAGTATGTGAATGGCACTGTACAATTTTTGCTGGCAGTATGACTAGTTAGCCGTAACTGTAAGTAGTCCTGCAAAGGGAAGATGTATGGCTTGACTGCCTACCTAGGTGCTACATTTACGTAATCCATCCTCTTCCCAAAAAGCCAAAGTCACAACATATAAAGAGCCGCATCTATGCTGAATACTTTTTATATGAAAATTCAATAGACTTTCTTCCAACCTGTACTAAAGATATAAAACATGCCTCCTCACCAGACTCTGCTTTTCCTCTGCTAAAGAATTTCACCCTGGATGGGACTTAAGTAGTGTAAATGCAGTTAGAATTTCATGAGGAAAACGAACATTCGTTCGAACATCTATTAATTCATTTCTAAGCAGCATGTTGGAACATTTTCCTTGAACGAACGAAATTCTAAAAGTGTATTTTGTGTTTCGACCGTTGACGATCAAAAATTGCAATGTGCCTGTGCAAAGGAAAACATTATCTTGACAAGGGTACTTCAGAGGGATCCCGTCTTTTCCCCCATTCACCCCTCCGCACTGTGGCCTGTCCCCCACCGAACTCCACCCCCGCAATTTTTCCCAATAAAACACGCTAGACCGTATGGAGTTCAAAAGGGCCACAGCAGCCACTTATTTCTTTAATTTAAATACCAAAATTCAATACAAAAATAAAAACCAATATCTTATCTGAAACAAAACATATACCAGTATAAAGATTTCTTTTTTAAGCCCTGGTTTCGGGGTCCTTGAAGGCACCTGTAAAAAAAAAGGAAACACCGCCGCATAAACAATTGTGTCTACGCCATCCAGATGACTAGTAATTTGGCCCCCAGCCGCACAGCACCGCATCGGAGACATTTATCTGTTTGACGTAGACACCTCCAGCCCAAAAACTAGGTGTTCAACACTTGACACCACTTAAAAGGAGATCCACACCTATGATGGGTCCCCCACCATTCTCCATAACTCCATTCTCCATAACTTACGGCATCACTACCACCTTCAAGGACCCCAAACGGCCAAGACTGCCGTGACGAGCCACTCGAAAACCTAAATAGCGAACAAAGAAACACACAAACCAAATTAACAACAAGGCGGGTGGGCGATAAATACCTTCTCCATCTCCAATTTTTCTGCAACTGGACTCTTCCCAACTCCTCCCAGGATCCCCACCTTTGGAAATCCCACCCTCTCCCACTGCCTCCAATCAGGTAAGCGACCCCTCTCTCCCTATTCTGTTTTTCCTTTCCTATTAACTCTTCCTATGCTTGTCTCCCCTTCTCCACCTGCCATGCTGTCTCTCTGCACAATTCCCTTTCTTACTTGTGCTCCATGCCTTTCTTTCTCATTACATCACTTCCATTGCGCACCTCGATCAAATGGTTACATTTCAAACATTGGTATTCTCCTTGAACGATTGGTGATAATAGCATCAAATAGAAAATATCTTTTCAATAATGGTGGTCTCGTCTGCTATGCGGAACTAAGTTGTGTACAACGTTTGTATGAATTTCTAACCTTGTCTACCCTAATTTAGAAATGGAGTGACTAAGCCCTGTCTATGCCCTGTGGCTATGACTAAGCCCTGTCTAAGCTGAAAAGTGTCATAGGTGGAGGGGCAGAGTCCAGGGAGGAGGCATTTGCAGGATGGAATAAAGTTTATTGAAATTGTAATAAAAAAAAAAAGGATTTGGTGGACGTTTGGCTCTTTATGTTGTGACTTTGAACAGTTAGTCCATCACCCTCAGACCGTTGAAAATAGAGCCATGTATTACAAGCAGAATGTGAGATTTTCCTGAATGCTGTAAAATCTCTCAGACCAAATAGTGATGGAAAAACAAATTATCATTTCATTGAATATATAGCAGTCAGGAGCAATTTTAGAAAAGTTTCTCAGTGGGTGTTTCATTGACAAGTAAAACTCAGTCACCCATGAGATCTAATGTATGGGCAGCCTTGGGCACATTGAGGTGACCTTTATCCCAGGTATGGAAGTAAACTTTATGGTACCCTGCCCAGAGTTTTCTTTTATAGGAGAGGTTTTGTTCTTTTCTTCATATACAGCACATGTATTTTTAGACATTTAGGTATCTTAATGACATGAAATTCCACAGGTTTGTATACCATGTATATGTATACTTACAGTTTACAGACATGCACAGTAGCAAATATTTGATAAACCCCCAACATTTATAAAGAAATAAATACTATTATCTAGTACTGCTTCTTTAAATTGTTATAGTGAATTAAATCAAACTGCTGCAGATGTTTTGTTGTCACCCAAAGATAGACTGAAAGCCTAATATGTTTAAAGGTGTTGTAGCTGCACAAAACTTAAAAGAAAAACTATTTAGGGACCTAAACCCATGAGTATTTTTATTTTACAATAGATTGCAAATACTGGTATGGAGAGAGTTAGATATACAAAGCATTTATCAAGCTTCCATTAACTTTTGGAAATCCTTAGAGTTCCCTTCAGCTTGAGCTTGGAGTCCTGAATACAGAACTTATTGGGAGTACAATTTTTATCAGGCTTCACCAAGCTTTTAGCGAAGTTGATGTCTGCTAAAAGCCTAAGTAGTACTAAAGCTTGCTTATTCGTGTTAACCATTTGTTTAAAGCTACAGCAATCATTTCTTTAAGATCTGTATTTAATACTCCCACAGCCAACATATGGGGAAATCTGCTTATAATGCAGAGATGTTCTTTCATTTTGCCATGTCATAAATTAAAGCCACTTGAAGTTTGTTAAATGCTTTTTAAATGCTTGGTGAAGCTGATGCTCTTTAGATTTGCATCTATGAATAAAGATGCCCTAGTGTTTAGGACTGTTCCAAGAGTTCCAAGCTAACAGGGTAGATCTTTCGAGCTCTACTACCATACATGCTTTTTTCTTCAGAGGCTCACCTATCCTTCACCCTCCTAAAGCGCTGGCACAGATATTACATGAAGATCATCTCAGTGCTGCGATCTTCCTGCACAGAACAATAAGCAGGGGAATGAGGGTTTGGAATGGCTGCTCCTGGTGAAGGATGCGGTAAGTATGTACAGCAAAGGTTTAGTTAGGGCTTTATTTAAGGATTAGGTTAGTGTTAGGGTCAGCGATTGAAACTGTTAAGGATATGTTTTGGCAGTCAGTTTATTTAAGGGTTAATTGTTGAGGCATAGGTCAAGATTTTAGAGTTGGGTGCTGGTTTTGGGGCTAACACATTGTTATAGGATTTAGTTCAGTGTTCTGGCAGGGTATGGGGAGGGAATGTTAGGTGTTAAGGTGTGTTAGGAACACTGTACAAAATCAGGGCAAGCTGCACGATATGCATGTTTTTGGTGCCAAAAGCTTCACACTGAAAAATGCCAGTGCCAAACTGTCAAACTGAGCCAATATAAAACAAGCATAAAGAAACATATTAAGCATTTTTTAAATGCCACCAACCCCCCCTTTTAATAATGTATTTTAAATAAAGGGATGATTCTGTATTGCTTTATTGACGTTTTAAAATGCAAGCCAAAAATGATTTTAAAACTTAAAGCGCCAATGTCAGTTAAGCACTGCAGGTACCCAAATCACAGGGTGCCCAGAAATGTGAACATCAACCAGCTTCCCTCATCTAGAATGTGGCTCTGCTCTCTACACCGTTCTTTTGACTCGTCACTATAATGAGCAGTATAACAATCCAATTCTATGGCAGAAGAGGGGGACCTTGAGCTACGAATCTGATTATTATTTACATAGCAGAGAACATGTTTTATTAAATTAACACTAAACTCAGGAGTTAAATCTTAAAAAATACATTCAAGCACCTTAACTATTAAGAAAAATGTATCTTATTTGTTTCACTCATCTGTAGATCCTTCAAATCATCTCTGAATTGGTGCTGACACTGTCCTTCCTTCTGGAGGGGGGCTACTTTTGTTCCTCATGGTCCCTGTGTGTGTTGTAAAATAGCCACCGCTCCAAGCTCGCTCCTGTTATAGACTACAATCTCAATACAAATGAGTAAAGTAGATTTGAGATTGTAGTCCATCATGGGACTGAGCTTGGGGCGTTGGCTACTTTACAACACACAAAGGGATCAGGGGAACAAAAGTAGCCACCCCCCAGAAGGAAGGGCTGTGCCAGCACCAATTCAGAGTTGATTTGAGGATCTACAGCTGAGTGATACACAAATAGCTACATTTATAGTTGTTTTATATGGTCTTGGGTTGGACAGCTCAGCACTGTTATTTTTCAGTGTGAAACATTTTGCAGTAACATGCCTGTTTTATTGCATGTTACCACAATACATAGGTGTGAGGCCAGCCCCAAAAAACTACACCCGAAT